AAAGAAGACTCGAAGTGGGTCCGGTTCTCAGACTTCCGTGTCTTCGCAACTCGTGATCACGACATCAGTCAAGATCAAGCTTACCATTAAGTTTCCCAAGAAGGTCATCAAGTGGACTGGCGCATACATTTCGCCATTCTTCGCTCTTCGTGACTCTGACAAATGCTGGATAAGAATTCTCAATTCCCGAGTACCTATTCCAATTCCAACTAAGCTCCAGATCCAGTGCTTGGCGTCGGAAATTGCGCGTTTCGCTGAATACACGAATCCTCAGTACCCATGGCAGAAGACTCGTCGGCAATTTCCTCCTCAAGCCTGTCTTTTCGACACCACAGATTTTGATCAAGAAGGCTCTCTTTCACAGCGAGCTCCCCCCGACCTGAGATATCGTGGCTATTGGAGAAACTTTCGTGGTGCTGGTCACAAGGAGGACCCCGAGTTTGGTTTTTCACAGTGGAAACGTGACCACTGGACTCCTCCTCGTGCAGTGGACTTATTTATTACGATGGCTTTCTGGACTCTACGCTTTAACATGCCCAACCTGGATCGATTGGAAGTTCTCGAGATCAAGGCGATGCTTGATGCTGTTGACGATGCCTGGCGCGACTACAACCTCGATCGTGTTAAACGCAATGACCGACTTCGCACCAAGTATCCCTACATTTGTTGAAAGTTGTCGCTTGAGTCTCCCCCTCCAGTTGACGGCATGATTCCAGAATTTCTGTTCGAACCCTCCATTCCACTCTACGGGATGAAATATCGTACGTGGATTCCCAAGACGTCAGTGTGGCTCAAGGAATTTGCTGAGCTTGATGCTCGTGAGCCATGGCGCAACTATTGGTTGGATTGTCCGGCGAAGCATCCCTACAACACGACTTTCTACCCGTGCAACCCTGATCGTCCACTTTTCGTTTCTGTTGATCATTCTTTGGCTTCCGTCGGCCCACTTATTGTCCGTGATCCAGCTCTCACTAATGCGGAAATTGTCGGCGGCTGGGAGCAAACCTTCCAAGGTTCACATCCCGTTGTGAAGGCGTTGGTTGCATATGACCCTGTTCCCGAAGCCTTGGTCGAACCTGCGGATCCTCCCGTGTTGTTGCTGCTTGATCGTAAATGGCCTTAGCCAAGGATACTGATTTTACTCAGGACGGCGAGGATCCAGTGCCGACTTCTCGTGAAGAGGACGATGAGGTCTCCGAAGAAGAAGAGTCGGAGCAAGAGGAAATTAAGGAACCTCCTCCTGTGATTGAGGACGAAGACGAAGATTCGTCAACCCAGATCATTGCTTCTGCCGACTACATCTCCAAGCGAGTCATCCAGGACCAGTCATCATTGGAGGTCACGGACCCCGGAGAACGCAAGTTGCTCCAAGGCCTGAACCGGATCCACGGGCAACTGATGAAGGACCCGAGCCCCCGGGAACAGTCGCTGGTGGTGTGAGCGTTCCTAGCCACTGCCCGGAGCATACCCAAGCGCTCCCCAGAAGGGTTAGAATGCGATGTGTTCGCGGTGACGCGCTCATAGTCCAAGCAAAGTAAGGCTACAGAGGAATCGGTCCCGGAACCAACGAGTCGAGGTCCGAAGGCCGGGAAGACGAACCGACAGCCGCCCTCCCCCCGAAATCCCGATCGCCAGGACTCTGAGGAAGACCTTGAGGACGTTCACAGAGAACGGTGGAGGAGAATTTGCTCTCACCAGGCACACGACCCGGGGCTAATTCCCTTGGTAAGATTCCTCCGAGGCGAAACCGAGCAGTTGACCCTGAGGCAGGCGACACACTTGGCCAAGATAGCGGACCAATTTGTGTTGGACTTGGACTCCCGGGTCGCCTTGTTTTACGTAAGCCGGAACACCACGGAGCGTCTCCGAGACGCCGCAGACCGTCTTCGCCTGGTAGTTCCCCAGGACCTCCAGGGGGACATTTTGCACCACTGCCACGCGGACTTCCAAGGCGCTCATCAGGGGATCATCTGGACCTACGAGAGACGCGCAAGGAGTTCTACTGGATCGGCATGGGTAAGGACACCGAGCAATACGTCAAAGAGTGCGTTGGCTGTGTCACGGCTAAGGGACTACCCCGGAACCCGGGCCCGTCGCCCGGTATCCTGTTGGATACGCGACCGTTCCAGGTCGTCTCAATGGACTTGTGATACCGCTACCTCGGCCCGCCCGGGGAAATACGGCACTGCTCCTGTTCCAGTGCGTGTTCTCGGGGTTCATCATGTGCAAGGCCATGGCGAGCACTGAAGCCTACGAAGAGTGCGTGTTCCGGAGGTTCGGAGCCAGTGAGATGATCCGTCACGACTGAGATCCGCGCTTCATGGTTCGGGTGTTCAAGCACTTCCGGGAGATGCTCGGGAGCATGCAACGCGCGACTCTAGCCTATCGTCCCCAGGCCAATGGACAACAAGAGAGGTCCGTACAAACGGTGGTCCGCAGTGTTAAGGCGTACGTTCAGACTGTGGGCCAGAGTGACTGGGATGAGTTGGCGGAGAAACTCATGTGGGCGCTGAACACCTCCTTCGACTTCACTCGACTTGACACGCCGTTCTACATGGTGCACGGTTGGGACGCCCAAGGTACTGCCGAAGCCATGTGGGAGACGTTCCCTGAGACGTGCAGCTTCGGGACGCCCAGGAAAATCGCACGAACGTACAAAGCCAGGTGGAATACACGAGAACCTGGGCCCGGGACCTCTAAGCAAAAACCAAGAAGCGCCGGGCCGAGGACCATAACCGGAAGTGTAAACAGCTTACAGACCGACCCATGGAGGGTTTCGTGGTCGGGGACTCGGTATGGTTGTACCTGGCCTGAATCCGTCCCGGACTCATCAAGTAGCTCGCACATATCTGGTACGGCCCGTTCCGGATCCAGGAAAAGGTAGCGATTTCCGATACCGCCTCCAGATCGAGGGTACAGAATACCGGTTTCACCCCTGCGCCCACGTTAGCAGGCTGAAGCCCCGAGCCAAATACCCGGAGCGGCCCTC